AAAAAAAAAAAAAAGAAAAATTGTTGGCTGGGCATGGTGGCTCACGCCTGTAATCCAAGTACTTTGGAGGCCAAGGCAGGCGAATCACCTGAGGTTGGGAGTTCAAGACCAGCCTGACCATCATGCAACATGGTGAAACCCCGTCTTTTTTAAAAAAAAAAAGAAAGAAAGAAAAAAGAAAAATTGTTGCCAAAGTCCACATGCTTTCCATTCAATTACCCTCCAAATTGGAATAGGAATAATCAAACTGAGTAGGCCTTAGACACAGAAATGGAAAAGCTATCTCTTCTCTTCCCCATCCAGCTCTCTCACCTTAATGTACACACCCAACCCCCAGCCTACCCAATCCTGTGCAGACCTGTAGTCATTCCTTTCTAGTCCCATTATCCTAACTCAGATTTGGAGATACCTTTCATTAATCTATCTTGATGTGATAATCCAATTACTGCCTTGCTTTGCCCCACTTTTGCCCATTATCCCTTCTTCCCAGAATCTCCTTTCTTTTGTCCAAGGTTAAGATTAAACCCTTTCTTTCTAATACCTCTACCAATTTTCCATTTTCCTAGTTTGAGAAGGCTTAACACCATAGTTAAGATTCCTCAAATGATCAATGTCCTTAAACTTCTGATTAATGCAAACATCTGTATAGAAAACTATATGTACATATCAAAAATATATACCTCAAATCATTTCCACAAACTCAACACACCCATGTGTTAAAACATGTGCTCTGAATGAAGAGACCCCTTAAACAGGCTTTGTGTGAGCAACATGGCTGTTTATTCACGCAGGTACGGGCAGGCTGAGTCTGAAAGGAGATCAGCAGAGAGCAGAGTGATAGGAATTGGTTTTATAGGTTTGTGGTAGGCAGTGGAAAGTTACAGAAGTTACAGTTCAGGGCGGTTTTTGCAAGCTGGATCGGGGTCACAGGGTCTGGAGTCATGAGGTTGACCAAGGTCAGTTACAAAGTCCGGTTGCCTTACCAGTTGAGGTGGGAATAAGGAACAATAGAAGAATGTCTTAAAGTTAATTAGATGCCACAAGAGTTGATCATTTCTCCTCCTTTTGTAGTTTTCCAGTTATTTCAGACTCTCTAATTCTAGGAGCTCATCTGGAGTATACGTGCAGGTCACAGAAGTTATCATGCCATCCATGGCACAGTCAGTCGGCCTAGAAGACCTTACAACTCCCTTCCAGTTTCTACTCTCCCAAGGTAACCACTACTCCAGCTAGGTCATGCAACCCTAATATTGGCATGTCCATTGGATTGGTCTGGGTACTCTCAACAGTATGATTGAGATAGGAGTTAAGAAGAAATCACTTAGGCAACAGTAAGGGTATGAGAGTCCTCAGTAAGACTTTTCTTTTTTTTTTTTTTTTTGAGACGGAGTTTCGCCCTTGTTACCCAGGCTGGAGTGCAATGGCGCGATCTCGGCTCACCGCAACCTCCGCCTCCTGGGCTCAGGCAATTCTCCTGCCTCAGCCTCCTGAGTAGCTGGGACTACAGGCACGTGCCACCATGCCCAGCTGATTTTTTGCACTTTTAGTAGAGACAGGGTTTCACCATGTTGACCAGGATGGTCTCGATCTCTCGACCTCGTGATCCACCCGCCTCGGCCTCCCAAAGTGCTGGGATTACAGGCTTGAGCCACCGCGCCCGGCAAGACTTTTCTTTTTAATGAAAAGCAGACCCAAATCATTTCTAACAAAGAACAACCTGTAAAATTGAGCTGCACACATAGACAAGCAAGTTGGGAGCTTGCATGGGTGAATGGCGACAGGAACTAGGTACCAGACATATTCAAGATGGCGACATCATCTTCCCTTCTGTGCCAGTAAGGAGCAGACCAGATGGCCCTGGCAAATGAGAGTTCATTTGCATCATAAGATTAGGGTGGGGCTACCAGCCTTCCCCCGGGCTATGTAAATGTCATACGTGATCAAAGCAATCTGTGAGCCCTACATAATTTAGACACTACCTTCTCAAACTGGACTATAAAGTCTAGTGCATCTGCCAGGCATGCTGGGAGACCCCTCTCTCTCTACAAAGAGAGCCGTTTCTCTTTCTCTATTAAACCTTCGCTATGAACCCTTCCCTCCTAATCTCTTTGTGTGTGTCAGTGTCCTCAATTTTCCTGGTGCCAGATGAGGAACCTCGGTATATACCCCAGACAACGTAGCCACTTCATTGTCATCTGCTCCCTTTGGCATAGGGATAATATCAAGACTTTTCCCTGGCCAATTATCTTGACTTACTTCCCACTCCTGTGGAACACTGACAAGAAGTCTGAGTTCTGATCCCATGGCAACCACCTAATAATCCTGGAAAATCTACTCTCTCTGAGCTTTAGCAATCTAGTCTCTAAAATATGGACAATGACCAGGCCCAGTGGCTCACACCTGTAATCCCAGCACTTTCGGAGGCAAAGCTGGGCAGATCACTTGAGGTCAGAAATTCAATACTAGCCTGGCCAACAAGGCAAAACCCCCTCTCTAACTAAACATACAAAAATTAGCTGGGTGTGGTGGCGGGTGCCGGTAATCCCAGCTACTCTGGAGGCAGAGGCACGAGAATCACATGTACCTGGGGGGCGGAGGTTGCAGTGAGCAGAGATCATACCACTGCACTCCAGCCTGGGCGACAGAGTGAGACTCCATCTCAAAAACTAAAATAAATAATAAAATGAAATAAAATATGGACAGTATAATACATTTGCAGTATTGCTATGAGGACTAAATGAAATATTGCTCTCAAAGTACCTGGTACAGTGTGTTGGGTACATAATAATGCAATAGCCAATGGTTATAGATGTTATTGTGTGCAGGTGCTGCATGAGGGTTTTATGTGTATTATCTCATTTGTAACTGGCCAAATAGAATTATTTGATTTTCTCATCTGCTTCCAATCTTTCACATCTCACTCAAGGGAATCACCATTTACCTAAAGATTTATATTCCAAATCTAGGTATTTTCCTTGATTTCTGTTTCTTCCACATTCCATTCATATAATTAATCAGCAAGTTTTGCTGATTCTGAAAGAAAACTCAAGTCACTCAGTTCTCTCAGTTTCCACTACCACTACTCTATTTTTAAAATTTTATTATTATTTTTTGAGACAGGGTCTTACCCTGTCACCCTGGCTGTATGCAGTGGTGCAGCCTCAACCTCCCAGGCTCAATCTATCCTCCCACTTTAGAGTTGGGACCGTAGACCACAGGCTTGAGCCACCACCACAGCTTTTTTTTTTTTTTTTTCTTTTTTTCGGTAGAGAAGGAGTTTCACTATGCTGCTCAGGCTGACCTCAAACTCCTGGGGCTCAAGTGATCTACTAGCCTTGGCCTCCCAAAATGCTGGGATTACAGGTGTGAGTACCATGCCTGGCACTACTACCCTATTTTTATTTATTTATTTATTTTGTGCAGGAGTGTCACTCTGTTGCCCAGGCTGGAGTGCAGTGGTGCTATCTCAGCTCATCACAACCTCCATTTCCCAGGCTCAAGCGATTCTCCTGCTCTCAACCTCCCAAGTAGGTGGGATTACAGGCTTCTGCCACCACACCTGGCTAATTTTTGTATTTTTAGTAGAGACAGAGTTTTGCCATGTTGGCCAGGCTGGTCTCGCACTCCTAACCTCAGGTGATCTGCCTGCCTCGGCCTCCCAAAGTGCTGGGATTACAGGCGTGAGCCACCCTGCCTGGCCGTTTTATTTTTAGACTGAGTCTCACTGAAGTGCAATGGCATGATCTCGGCTCACTGCAACATACACCTCCTGGATTGAAGCAATTCTCCTGCCTCAGCCTCCAGAGTAGCTGGGACTACAGGCACGTGCAACCACGCCCGGCTCATTTTTATATTTTTAGTGGAGGCAGTGTTTCACTTTGTTGGCTAGGTTGGTCTCGACCTCCTGACCTCAGGGGATCCACCTGCCTCAGCTTCCTAAAGTACTCCCAAACAGCTGGCATGAGTTACTGTGCCCAGCCTGCTACCCTATTTTAAACCACCACTATCCTTCACTTAAATATCTCAGAATGTAAGTAAGCTACATGTGAATAGGCTTGGTTTATTATTGCTCACAGCCGCAGCTCCAGCACCTCAGCAGTCAGAAAAGTGCCTGGCCTTTTTCAGGATTTTGCTGTGCCTTGAATGAATGCATGTTGCAACAAGCCTTCGAAGTAGGTACTGTTATTATTCCCATTTTATAGATAAGGAAAGTTTACACAACAAATAGCAAAATCAGGATTCAAACCCAGTAAGTCTGACTCTAGAGCCCGCTCACTTAGGCACTACTGCTAAGGTACTGAACTGCACCGGCTTATACTGAAGTTAATTATTAAAGATTTTTTGGGGGGTGATACTAGGAAAAATTTGAGTTGAAATTCCCCAACTTGACAACTTTTCTCCAAGTTTTCCTGAGAACACGGCTGATGCACCTCTTCACAGTCTCGTAGGCACAACGATTTGGTTTCTCCCAAATCTCTCTCATGCGCCTCTTCCAACATTCCAGCGATATAATGAACTCTTTTCCAGCAGCAAATGCTCCTGCCTCCTATCCGAAACACTCCCCCTCTCTCATCCCCTCTGGAAGAACCCTCCTTAATTTCTCAACTCTGAGGGCTTATAACAGGCAGTACTTTTCCCCAGTTGGCAGCACTACTAAAATTACTTGTTTTCAGTACTCTCCCCTGTGTTTAGGGCTTTCCCGGTTTCAGTCATCCGCGGACAATCTCGGTAGGGAAATACAACCAATAACATATGTTGAGAGGGATCATGTTCACTAATGTTTATTACAGTCTTTCATAATAATTGTTCTATTTTATCGTTAATTATTTTTGTTAATCTCTCACTTTGCCTAATTTATAAATTAAACTTTATCATAGGTACGTAGGTATAGGAAAAAACCAGCCAGGAGGCCCGTCACTTGCGTGTTTCCTACTTGCTCAGCCTACTTCAGCCTGCGCAGTCTCCGTGACTAGTTTGACCCTCCGAGGGCCGCCGTAGTGCGTCGCCTCCGTTGCCGGGGAAACGACCCCGGACCTGGGAGGGAGCAAAGACGTTTCCCGCCGGCGGGAGCCGTGGCTGTGGTTGAGAGAGGGGCTAGAGGCGGGTCCCAGCGCTGCAGCACCATGGCGGACCAGCTTTATCTGGAAAATATAGACGAGTTCGTCACGGACCAAAACAAGATCGTGAGCAGCTACGACTGGGGAACGCGGGCGTGCGACCGGGGTCCTGGGCCCGGCCAGGGCGGCGGGACCTTGATTCCGTCCCTGCTTGTGACTTCGTGGGGACCAGGGGGAGACGGGTTCCCCCTGAGGGGACCTGGGCGAGCTCTGTGCCCCAGGGCGAGCGAGGACTAGCCGGGGAGGTCCTTCGGCACACACGGAAGTCGGCGTCCCTTCGGTGGGGGAGTGCTGGGAACAGAGCCTGGGGCTGGAGCCGCCGAGACCCGGCGGGGAGGGAGGGCCGTTGACTGAGAGTATTTCTAAGGCGACCCTGCACCTGTCTTTTAAGGTGGTTGGCGTTTAAAGTTTCAGGTTTACAGTTGAGGAAATCGTGTCTTAACTGTGTTAAGTTACAAGCTGCGTAACCTCCAGATACTGTTTCCTCTTCCTGGAAATTTAAGCATTAATAGAGGCTTAACCCGCCTCACAGGGGTGAGGTAAAGATCGAGCGAGATGATGGATGTGAGTGCGCTTTGCAAACCGTGATGATTGAGGGCCTGCTGTGTGCCAAGGCACCTTAATCTTTGCAGTGACCTCCCCGCACCCCATCCCAGGTCTGTGGTGGTATCCCGAGAGGAGGAAATGGAAGCTGAGGGGCCAAGTAACTTGTTTATTTGCTGTTGGTAGGGATAGGCAGTTTTTCAGCCTAGGTCTGTTCTCTTACTACTGCTTTCTTCTACATTACACTGTCTTTGCCTAACCTGTGCAAGTCTTACAACTATTGGAAGCTTGGCATTTAGAATTGGAAGAGACTTTGAGAGAAGAGAGTGCAGGCATCCTGGGTCTAGGAAGGATGAAGGCTTGATGCTGCTAGTTCCTAGTTCAATCTCTTATAAAAATATTCACCCACTTTGTTCATTCATTTCCTGACACCTGCACCACCTGCGCCTTTAATGTTTAGGTGGCTGCAACTTTCTTTAGAAGTTTCTGAGACTTCACACTTCAAAGTCATCTAGCTTCTGGATGAGTTTTAGGATAGCTTTGGCTGGTGGCCTAAGTAAAACGAGGAATATGAGGAAAATGAGAGCTTTTTCTGTTATGTATGTTTAGTCTGTCTTTTTAGATTATTTTTCACTAGTTCATGAAACAAACTGCTTAGCATTTTTAAGATAAATAACTTGGTCCTGCCTACCTACATAGATGGTTCTTGGCAAAACTGCAGTGGCCTTTATTGTAATTTATGAGACATAATTATCTAAGAATAGGAATCTTTAGGAACAGGCCCTCGGGACTGATCTGCACTCTGGAGTCATCTAATAAAACATTTAAAAAATTTCTTCTTTTTACAGGTGACGTACAAATGGCTGAGCTATACACTTGGGGTTCATGTAAACCAGGCCAAACAGTAAGTCCAATTTACTACCAATTTTAATCACATTTGAGGGTTTTTTTTGTTTGTTTTTTGTTACGCTTTGCTTTTAACTCTACAGATAGCCTCTAGGAAGAACTGATTTTCTGGGTAAATGAAAATAATACTGATTTTACTACTTTTTGTATCGTTTGAAAGATAGGTGGACTTGAATTAGGTTGGTGCAAAAGTAATCGTCATTTTTGCCATTACTTTTGAACCAACCTAAGTATATAAATGTGTGATGGTAAATTTACTGGATTTATTTGCAGCCTTGGGCTCTGGTTACCATCTCTTTGTTAATTCATATTCATTAAATGGACTGCCGAGTTCTGTTTACATCTCAGATTTGTATGTTTGTTTCTTACATTGTCACTATGTTTTCACATGTTCTCCTTAGGCCCAGTTTTGGATGTTACTGAAATACTTCCATAATGCGGTCAACAGGTGTTTGACACAAGCTGTATGACAATATAAGACACTGGAGAACTATTTAAGTAAAACTAAAAAGGGTATGTTTAGGATGGTGCAGAACATTGTTGTTCTTGAATTTTGCCTTACCACTTTTTCTCTTTTTTTTTTTTTTTTTTTTTGAGACAGAGTTTCGCTCTTGTTACCCAGGCTGGAGTGCAATGGCGCGATCTTGGCTCATCGCAACCTCTGCCTCCTGGGTTCAAGCAATTCTCCTGCCTCAGCCTCCTGAGTAGCTGGGATTACAGGCACGCACCACCATGCGCAGCTAATTTTTTTTATTTTTAGTAGAGACGGGGTTTCACCATGTTGACCAGGATGGTCTCGATCTCTTGACCTTGTGATCCACCTGCCTCGGCCTCCCAAAGTGCTGGGATTACAGGCTTGAGCCACCGTGCCCGGCCCTTACCACTTTTTCTTTTTTTTTTTTTTTTTTGAGACGGAGTTTCGCTCTTGTTACCCAGGCTGGAGTGCAATGGCGCGATCTCGGCTCACTGCAACCTCCGCCTCCTGGGCTCAGGCAATTCTCCTGCCTTAGCCTCCTAAGTAGCTGGGATTACAGGCATGCGCCACCATGCCCAGCTAGTTTTTTTGTATTTTTAGTAGAGACGGGGTTTCACCATGTTGACCAGGATGGTCTCGATCTTTCGACCTCGTGATCCACCCGCCTTGGCCTCCCAAAGTGCTGGGATTACAGGCTTGAGCCACCGCGCCCGGCCTCACTTTTTCTTATTGAAACCTGTGATCCAGCTTGAGATCAGAGGGGAAAAAGCAAGCATTTGAATTAACTTTACATTTTTTTGACCTGCATAAGTACAGTATCATGTGTATTCCAAGAGGGGAATTGGTGAACAGGTTGAGGACACAATATTGGGTTAAATGCTCATGTAGTTTGTTTCATTCCTAAGGTTGGTCTGAGTTTTCTCTGTTTTTTGAGCCATAGGAACTTTTTCTTTTGAGACAGAGCCTGGCTCTGTCACACAGGCTGGAGTGCAGAGGCGTGATCTTGGCTCACTGTAATCTCTGCCTCCCAGGTTCAAGAGATTCTCCTGCCTCAGACTCCCGAGCATCTGGGAATACAGGTGCCCACCACCACACCCAGCTAATTTTGTTAATTTTAGCAGAGATGGGATTTCACTATGTTGGCTACGCTGGTCTCAAACTCCTGACCTCAAGTGATCTGTCTGCCAAAGCCTCCCAAACTGCTGGGATTACAGGCACGAGCCACCGTGCCTGCAGGAGTCATAGAAAACTTTCTTTGAGCCATAAGAACATTCCACAAGTCTTAGAAAGTTCCTGGTCTCTAGAATGGGTTGATTTGACTTTATCTAGTTAGTGTTAGACAGGGTTAGGAGTCTGATTTTGGCGGTGATGTTTAGGCTTTCAAACCTGAAAGTCTTAGCTTAGGGATAGTTTGGGACTGGTTTTTAGTAAGATTGCCCAAGACCAGTCCTGGCCCAAACCCAATAAATTCAGGAAACTTTGGAAATGGACATCTGTGAGTTATTGTTCATTGTGGTTATAGATGTTTAAATGTCAAATTAGGCAACTATTTATTACTAAGCCTATTGGGATTTAAAAATGCATACTGTGGACTAGAGTCCCTAAATGTGAAATGAAGATGCCTGCAATTATACTGTAGGTACCCTGATTGCCTATCATTTTTATAGCATTAATGCACTGTCTAGCTCCTGCCTGTCTACCCAACTTCATCCCATACCACTTTCTACCTCACTTATTATATTCTTGCCATATTTGCCTTTCTGTTTTCCAAATAATATCAAGCGTATTTTCTCACTCTAGTATCCTTCTGCCTGGAATGCTCTTTCAGCTGTCCTCATTCTTCAGATTTCAGCTTAGATTTTATATGATACCACTTGTAAACAGGCTTACTGATCCTCTGTTTTAAGTATCTCCACCCCTCCCTAACTCTGTCATATCATTCTGTTAATTTCTTTAGTAATTCTCCCTTAAAAAAGATGTATTGAGATATAATTTGCCCATTAAGGTGTATAATTTAGTGGCTTTTAGCATATTCACAGAGTTGTACCTACTATCAGGCACTTATCATTTCTCCCCAACCCCTGCAGCCCTAGACAACTGCTAATCTATCTATAGATTTGCCTATTCTGGACATTTCGTATACATGGAATCATATATAGTCTTGTAATGTCTTATTTTTTTTTTTCAGTGCTTAATTTGTTCTTATGGCTAAATAATATCCCATTATACAGTTTATTAGTTTCTAAGGGCTGCCATAACACTGTATTTCAAATGAGTGACTAAAAACAACAGATATTTAATATCTTACAGTACTGGAGACTAGAAGTCAAAATCAAGGTGTTGGCAGGGCTGTGCTCCCTCTAAAATCTACAGGAAAGAATCTTATTCCTTGTTTTTTCCCACCTTTGGTGGTTTGCTGGCAATCATTGGCATTTCTTGGCTTGTAGCTGTATGGTGCCAATCTCTGCCTTCATTGTCATGGCATTCTCCCTGTGTATCTGTATCTTTCCATGGCCATCTTATATGAACACCAGTCATACTGAACTACGAGTCCACTCTACTCTAATATGACCTTGTCTTAACTAATTACATGTGCAATAAGTCTTTCTTTCTTTCTTTCTTTCTTTTTTTTTTTTTTGAGATGAAGTCTTACTCTGTCGCCCAGAGTACAGTGGCATGATCTTGGCTCACTGCAACCTCTGCCTCCCAGGTTCAGAGAATTCTCCTGCCTCAGCCTCCTGAGTAGCTGGGATTACAGGCATGTGCCACCACGCCCAGCTAATTTTTGTATTTTTAGTAGAGACGAGGTTTCACCATGTTGATCAGGCTGGTCTCGAATTCCTGACCTCATGATCAGTATCTATACCTAGAATTGGAATTGTTAGGTCATGGGATAATTCTGTATTTAACATTTTGAGGAACTGACAAACTATTTTTCAAAATGGCGACAATGTCTTACGGTCTTAACAGTGTAGGAGGATTTCAGTTTCTCCACATTCTGGTCAACAGTACTTTTTTTTTTCCCCTCAGATTTCTCATGGATGAACTCTTTTTTATTTTTATTTTTTATTTTTTATTTTTTTAAGATGGGGTTTTGCTATGTTGCCCAGGCTGGATTTGAACTCAAGGATCTTTCCACCTCAGCCTCCCAAGTAGCTGGGACTACAGGTGTATATCACCACACCTGGCTAAAATTTTTTATTATGTCTTATTTTACACATCCTAGTGGATATGAGGTGGTATCTCATAAATGATGTTGACTTGCATTTGCCTAATTACTAACAATGCTGGGCCGGGCGCAGTGGCTCAAGCCTGTAATCCCAGCACTTTGGGAGGCCGAGGCGGGTGGATTGCGAGGTCAAGAGATCGAGACCATCCTGGTCAACTTGGTGAAACCCCGTCTCTACTAAAAATACAAAAAATTAGCTGGGCATGGTAGCACGTGCCTGTAATCCCAGCTACTCAGGAGGCTGAGGCAGGAGAATTGCCTGAACCCAGGAGGCGGAGGTTGCAGTGAGCCGAGATCGCGCCATTGCACTCCAGCCTGGGTAACAAGAGCGAAACTCCGTCTCAAAAAAAAAAAAAAAAAAAAAAAACAATGCTGAATATCTTTTCATATGCTTATTGGCCATGTGTATATCTTTGGAGAAACAGATATTCAAAACTTTTGCCCATTTTGTCATTGGGTATTTTGGTTGTTGTTTTAAGCATTTTTTATATATTCTGAATATAAGAATCTGATCGATATATGATTTGCAAAAATTTTCTCTTATTCTGCGGATTGTCTTTGTACTTTCTTGATGGTGTGCTTTGACCCACAGACTGTTGTTGTTGTTGTTTGAGACGGGATCTCACTCTGTTCTCCAAGCCAGAGTGCAGTGGTGTGATCTCAGCCCACTGCAGCCTTGACTTCCTTGAACTCAGGTGATTTTCCCCACCTCAGCCTCCTGAGTAGCTGGGATGCTGGGACTATAGGCATGTGCTACCACACTCGGCTAATTTTTTTTAAGTTTTTTGTAGAGATGGGGTGTCGCCATGTTTCCCAGGCTGGTCTTGAACTCTTAGGTTCAAGTGACTCGCCCGCCTTGGCCACCCAAAGTGCTAGGGTACAGACATGACCTACCATGTCTGGCCCATGGAAGTTTTTATGGCTGAGGAAGTCCAATTTATTTATTTTTTATTTATTTATTTATTTATTTTTTTTGAGACGGAGTTTCACCCTTGTTACCCAGGCTGGAGTGCAATGGCGCGATCTCGGCTCACCGCAACCTCCGCCTCCTGGGCTCAGGCAATTCTCCTGCCTCAGCCTCCTGAGTAGCTGGGATTACAGGCACGCGCCACCACGCCCAGCTATTTTTTTTGTATTTTTAGTAGAGACGGGGTTTCACCATGTTGACCAGGATGGTCTCGATCTCTTGACCTCGTGATCCACCCACCTCGGCCTCCCAAAGTGCTGGGATTACAGGCTTGAGCCACCGCGCCCGGCCTGCTTGTGCTTTTCTAAGTTTAAATTTTAAAAGGAT